GGAAAAAAATAAATTAGCCGGGCGAAGCGCCAAGCCGGGAGCTCCGAGGGACGTGCCCAGAGTGGGGAAGCGGAGCAATTCGGGGGGCGAGCCTGCCCGAAATGTGGGGAGCGCCGGCCGTGCCGCGGGGCCACCCCGCTCCCCCCTGCTTGCTGCCGGTGACCTGGCTTCTGGCGCTGCACGCAGGTAGGGAGTTTCCCCGTTTTTCCACGGTTTTCCCGTTTTTCCGTGGGTCTTGGGGGYATCCGGATGGAGGATGAAGGCCGGGGGGGTGATGAGGGTGGTGATACCCTATGGGGGGGGTTGGAGGGAGGGTTGTTGCACTGTTGAGCATACCCTCTGCTCAGGAGATGGGAAAAAAGGGGGTAAAAATGGGAACAAAAACTGGGGAAAACACTTTTCTGAAGCCAAGCAGGTCCCGATGTGGGGGAGGATTTGGCACCGCCCCCACCCTGATCTTCTCCCCAGTTTTTTGCCTTCCCTGAACCCCCTTCTTTTCTAATTTTTTACCATCTCCGAATCTTTTCTCCTACCCATCCTCCGGCTTTCCTTAAAAACTCATTTTCCACCCCATTTCTAAGCTTGCCTCATCCCACTGCAACCCTGGATTTCTCCATAATTTATTCCCCAAATTCTCACATTTTGGAGTTCTATGAGCCCCAAACTGACTCATCCCAGGTTTGGCAACATAGAAAATCACCTGCAACAATTTTGTTCCATTTTACCAAAATTTGGACCCMAAAGCTGCCCTGGGGAGGCCCCATTTCCCTTCAGAGGAGGAGGATGRACGCAAAACAAACCAGCCGGGTTCTTTGCTGTCTTTGATTTAGACCCTAAAAACCAGCCAGGGCTGCAACCAGGGCACCCCAAAAATGCTACGGTGCTTTTTTTAAAAAAATATAGGGATTTATGCCACAAGATAATGTGAAAATGAAGATTTTTTTTGTGGGCTTTTTTCAACAAAAACCATTGAAAAGGGCTGGGAGATCTCYATCCCTAAGCCAAGGACGCTGTAGGAAAAGGGAACATTTCCTGATTTATTCATGAACTCCCAAAATTTTTCCCCAGAGCGGAGAAAAAATTAAGAATCAAGTTAAAATTTAAAAAAAAAAGGGAAGAAACAGTTAAAGAGCAGCGATTTGTGCACAGGGAGGGAGCAAGGATGTATTAAAGGCCACATCCCCATCCCATGGTTTGGTGCTCCCTCGGGGGGTCCCCTAAATTTGGCGAGTCGGGGCACGCTGGCGGGGCCGAGCGCGGCGCTGCCAGGGAGGATGGACGGACGGACGCTGCATACCAATAGGTCCCATGACTTTTCGGGCTTGTTTAAGGCCTTTCTTGCTCCTGCTTCAYGCTGCCCAGCTGGTTTTCCCACTCTCCCCTCCTCTTCAATATGGYGTTTGTTCGCCGTTGGATGACGGGATCCGGATGGGGGGCTCACRGATGGGACCTCTGGGATCTCAAGARAGGGATGCTAAGGTGTTTCAAGGAGGGAGAAGGTTGGGGAGAGTTTCCTCCTCCAAAAAATTGTGGTTTTACACTTTTCCCTGCCTTTTTTGGCTCAAAACCAGCTATGATGAGCGATGCACGTGCACCGACGCCCGTGATGCAGTTTTGCATCTGAGGGGGCTTTGTCTGGACAGGAGCATCCAATAGGGGATGTGGGTGGGGTAAAAAATCCTTCCCCCAACATTTATGGGGGATTTAAGGTCTCCTTGGAAAGCATGGCATTGAGCCAAGCACAGGTCCCTCTCACTCCCCAGGCAGCTTTTGCAGGGCAATGATGTGACTTTGCCAAGGGCTGCCTTGACCTGCCTCCTACCCCCTGCATTTTTGGGGTCATGTGTGCATTTCTGCAAAGGTTGCATCAACCCGGTTGCAGGAGCACTCTCCCTGCATTTTTGGGGTCATGTGTGCATTTCTGCAAAGGTTGCATCAACCCAGCTGCAGGACAGCTCCTGCCCAAGCCCTGCACATTTTGGGGGGCAGCACATGCACTTTTTGCAGAGCCTGCATTAACCCAGCAGCTGGAGGTCGCCCATCCACACACCCTCCTTGCATTTTTGGGGTGATGCACGATTTTTGCAAAGGGTTGATTACACTGACCTGACTGCAGGAGCACTCCCACTCCCAATGCAGCTTTGGGGTGATCATGCATCTTTGCAGAGGGTTGCATTGACCCACCTCCCATGCCCAAAGAAATTTTGGGGATGATTCTTTGATTTTTACAACGTATTGCACGGATCTAAGCAAGGAGGGCTCCTACCCCTCAAGCGCTTTTGGGGTCACACGTGCACCTTTGCAAAGGTCATGGAACCAAGCTGGGCACTTTGTGGGTTGGGGTTTCCCCATTTTCTCCATGCTCGGCACCCTGCTGTCTCTCCCCACCCCAAGGTCTGCTGGCAGGGGTGAACATCACCAGCCCCACGCCTCTGGTCCGCGGCACGGCGGGCAAAGCRGCGCTGCTGTCCGTGCGCTACGCCAGCGCCAGCGCCGACAAACCGGTGGTCAAGTGGCAGCTGAAGMGGGACAAACCTGTCACCGTCGTCCAGTCCATCGGCACCGAGATCATCGGAAACCTACGGCCAGACTACCGTGACCGCATCCGGGTGCTGGAGAACGGCTCGCTGCTCATCAGYCCCTTGCAGCTGGCGGATGAAGGTGCTTACGAGGTGGAGGTGTCCATCACTGACGACACTTTCACAGGCGAGAAGACCATCAACCTCACCGTGGACAGTAAGGGCAAGAAGGACATCCAGTGGTGGCTGGGTTGTCCATGGGRTGTCTTCCCTGACTGTATTTTGGGAGGGCTTTCTCCAGCTGGGAGGTGGTTTTGGGAGGTGTTTTTTTTGGGGGGGTTTCAACCACCCTGTGCAGCCGAGCTGGTGGGGTTGGGATGTCTCTCATCCTGTCCCCTGGGCCCATCCGTCCCCTGAGACATGGCATCACCGTGATTTTCCTACTCGCCCACAGTTCCAATTTCAAAGCCACAAGTGCTGGTGGCTTCCTCAACAGTGCTGGAGCTCAGTGAGTTCTTCACCCTCAACTGCTCGCACGAGAACGGCACCAAACCCACCTACACCTGGCTGAAGGACGGGCGGCCACTGAGCAACGACTCCCGCCTGCTCCTCTCCCCGGACCAGAAAATCCTCACYATCACCCGTGTTCTCATGGCTGACGATGACGTTTACAGCTGCCTGGTGGAAAACCCCATCAGCCACGGCCGCAGCATCCCCGTGAAGCTCACTGTTTACCGTAAGGCACCTCTTCTCCCTTGCTGCGCTCCCAGGATTGGCCATCCCTTGCAGGCACCTTCAGCTAAAATTTTTGGGGGGTTGTCCCCCCTCRTTCCTCTCCTCCAGGCCGGAGCTCTCTCTACATCATCCTGTCCACGGGAGGCATCTTCCTTCTTGTCACCCTGGTGACAGTTTGTGCCTGCTGGAAACCCTCCAAGAAGTAYGGGTGGGGATAACCTGGGAGAAAAAGGGAATTGTCCCACCTTGCCCCATCCTGTCTTGTCCCATCCCCTTTTGCCCCATTTCATCTCTTCCCATCCTATCTTGTTGTGTCCCATCCCATCCTATCTCATCTCATCTTGGCACATCCTACTCCATGCCATGCCATGCCATCCCATCTCATCCCATCCCATCCCACCTTATCCATCTCTCCAGTTCTATTCTATTCTATTCTATTCTATTCTATTCTATTCTATTCTATTCTATTCTATTCTATTCTATTCTATTCTATTCTATTCTATTCTATTCTA